AAGTATAAAATTACATTTGTAAAAGCTATGTTTCAACTGCAACAACTTGTACCATTTCTTTTTTTCTCAATTTTATACATAAGACAATAAATAAAAATGATTCCTTTGCAATAAAATATACTCCACCCACTTCTTTACTTATATCTGTCTCAGCAGATATATTTAATAGTTGTAAATATATATAGTTTACTTTTGAGGCCAAACAATCCTTAGTGGATTAGATGCAAGAAGAGAGTGAGGGAGATTTAAATCTTTGAAGAACAAGAAAATTAATATGAATGCAAGTGAAAGAGAGAGGGGGAACAATCACAAATGTTACCACTTTGTGCTGCACAGTAATTTTAATTTTTTTTAAAAAAAAATCTATTAAAACCAAAATAGCTACAATTCCCTCTGCCAACTTTTGGTTTTACTGCTATCAGTTTTCTCATGTGTGTGCATTTGCATGTACACACATATGCACACATGCCTTCTTGAATGAGTACATCAGTATCAACGTTGTCAATGCCTCTTGAAATAAGTGTTATTCTTCAAATTCACAAATTGTGTTAAATGGCACCCTTTATTTAAAGAAGCTGCCTGTCTAGTAGTGTGACAGTAACAGACTGAATACTACCAGTCTAAAGGATTTTCCAACAATATTTCTTACTCATTTCTAAAAAAAATGGTGCCAAAAAGCATGGGTTAAATGACAGAAACATTTTGACCCATGCTTTTCAATTTTAGACATCTGATTGCTCAAGTTTGTAAACAAAATAAGTGCAAATTTAAGATGGAGAAAGACAGCCATCTTCACAGAACGAGTTAGTACATTAATAAAATCACATTTGTCCTTTGCTTAATTTTCTGCTAATTATGGAGAAATGTCAAATTGGATGGAGAAAGACATGGCAAAGGTGAAATACTGATTTTTTTTTCTTTTTAATGCTAGTTATCAAAGCCTCAGAAACAAGAGGGAAATTAAGTTTCCAGAATTATGCACTCCTATGATTTGAAAAAAGCATGCTAGTATAAAAAGATACTCTTTTGAGAACGGAGGCCTGTTAGTTTTGACTGTGTCCAATAAACCAAAGGCATTATGGTGATCTCTAAATATTTTTGGTCTCTACTATTTGTCATTATTATGGCAGCACTTTTCTAAGCTGGAACTTCAAAACCAAAGGCACTTGCATGCAAGAGTGCAGAGTCACAAACTAAGTATTTGGTCATGAGAATTGGAAAAGGCAGCATTATTTATACAATTCACTTTCTGCAGAAAATTCTAGAGCTGTTTTGTTTCATTTTGGTATAAAGATTCCAACTATGTAGCAATGGGGACTGACTTATCTAGGAAGGTTTCTTTTGACCAAAAGGGTTTCCTCTAGGAGATTATTCTTTTTATACATAAATAAACCAAATTAATGGACTACATATGATTGGCATGATAGGCTAGAAGGTACTCCTACTATAGCACTAAGGCACTGCATACTGTAATGCTTTGGCAGCTTGGAATTAAGAAGTTCCTACCACAAATAACAGTAACAAGAGAGATGCTTCCAGCTTACAAAAGAGCTCACAGTTGCCAGGCAGCTTTTGGGGACCACACATTCCACACAAAACCGTTGACAGACTTAAGGCTTGAGGAAGAAACATGCTCAGGGGATGAATCGTTTACATCCACAAATAAGTGACTGACAAGGCAAACAGTTCCCCATACATTTTTACAAAAAACAAACATCAAGAAACATCAGGATGCTTCAGACTCTATAGTCATTACATACGTTACGTTGCAGGCGGCATTATCAGAAGAAGAAGAAGAAAAAAAATGGTGCCTACTTTGCAAACTGATCTGTTTCACGTGTGAAAAGTGATCCTAATGTTTTAAAACTTTTTCTTCCCCCTAAAATAAATCTATCCATCAAAACCAAAAGCCTTATAATATTTGACTGTTAAAAAGAGAATTTTAGACCTGTTTAACACCAAGTGCTTCAAATAAAGGGCTCCCCCTGCAGTGCTTCTATTAGATACTTTGCTAGTGTTAGAAACAGGTGAAGACACCCAACCATAAATGTTTGGTTCTAGTGCTCTCAGACAAAACGACTGACAGCACAATCCTGTGCATATCTACCTGGAAGTAAGTCCTATTTATTTCAACAGGATTTACATCCAGTTAAGCGTGTACAGGATTGCAGCTCAAGAGGTTCATCTGCCTTAACATCTATTGCTCAGTTTACCAAGATGCTCAGTTTACTAAGCCTTCCAAGTCTTGGCCTTCCATTCTACTGCTGGCCTAACCTCCTACCTTTGTGGACGCAAATGTTAGAAATGTTTGAGGAACCCTGTGCTGCAACAATCCACTAGATGGGTGAATGTAATCATGGACAGAAGGCCACAGCGTTATGTAGCCTTCCAGATGTTAAGCACCATAATCTTCCTTTAACAATGAAGTAAAACGCAAACTTCCAGATGAACTGTACCTTGATACATCCTCACAGACTTTAATGCACATGTATTTAATTGTGAAAGCTTTATTAACACAGTGCCTAAAATGTTATAAATAGTATTTACCCTAAGAGTGACTCCAAAATTTCAAAACTGTAGGGAATTGTGACTCTAAGAGCAGCAACTATTGTTGTTCTATCATGAATGTAAAATCAATATGAAGGAGGAAAGTGTCCGTATTTCTCTCCAGAATCTTTCTCAATTTTCAGCTTTGGATAGCTGGAGGCTAAACTTTCATTCTAAATGCCTGAAAAAGTCCCAAAACCCAAATCAAAGAAACCTATATTTAGAATGGGAACTATGAAGCAGAACTGCCAGGTGCAAGAACACCCACACAAAAGGGCTGGGGGTGTATGTAGTGACAAAATGTGCAAATTGACATCATGATGGAAAAATGACAACTTATGTCCTTGTCTCAGATGTTGGAATGCAAGTATGTGAGGATGGAAATTGCATTCCAACATTTATCTACTGCCACACTTCTAGGAACTTCTCAAGTAAATCAGATTCCACAAGTGAAGAAACAAAGACAGACTGACTTGTTATTTGTAGTTAATATTTTCACGTGCCAGCATTTCAAACCAGCAAGTTGAATTATGGCACATAAGGAGATGGCTTAGAATCAGAGTAGTTGCTTAAAGCATGTATGTAACCATCTTGTGAGCATGTACCCTTCCTAAATTGCATGTCTTAATATAATGTTGATTAAGCAACATTTCAGCCTTGCTCATGTCTGAAGACCTAGACTTTGTACATAATATGTTACTGAAGGAAAAACAAACCCCACATAGGTACAATCAGATTGTGTGCCTAAGCAATATGAAATATTGTGTATCTAAAAAGTGAGGGAAGCTCAGATGAAAGGAAATTGTAGTACAGGATCCAAAATGAAGAGATTAAGGGTAGGTCGTGTGTAGAAAGCTCTATGCAAATAATCTGTTCAAACCTTTGGCATGAGCGCTGTGTTCCTTTTCCTGACAAACAGAATTGTGGACAGGAAAAGAAAAACATGGATAATGATCAACAAGACGAAGGATAGAGCCAGATATTTTGAGAAGTCTACAAAAGAAAAGTTGGTCACAAACTCAACCATCAGTGCTGGTTGGATATTCAGAGAATTATAATCCAACCCATCTGAAGGGACCTAAGGCTGGGGAAAGCTGTATTCATCATGGCAATTTTAAGACACAATCTGATTAAGACAGAGTCTACCAAGCCACTTGTAGCTCTCCAAATATGCATTCTGGGTAGCCAAGTGCTTGACAGCCCTCAGACTGATTCCAAATTTTCAGAGAAGGTGAAAGGATATAGCCATGTGCTGGCATTATATATAGAAGGTCCAGTCTTGACTCTTATTTTTATCTATCTATCTATCTATCTATCTATCTATCTATCTATCTATCTATCTATCTATCTATCTATCTATCTATCTATCTATCTATCTATCTATCTATCTTTTAAAAAAAGCTTGATATCCTAGAGCAGTGTTTCTCAATGTTGGCAACTTTAAGATATGTGGACTTCAACTCCCAGAATTCCCTAGCCAGTGTACAATCCTAGAGAATAACTTTCAATTCCTACTGACAAACCTGAGCTAAATGAAACAGTGATCTGAGTCAGTGTAAAACAGTTCTGAAATATATTAAGCCCTTAATGTGGCTTCCACGAATAGCTGATATTTTACATATGTAGCCTGGTGGATCACACTGAGCAAGACTAGCTTAAGGAAACCAATCAGTCTTTTGTCAATGTCAGATATTTCTAGGATTTTAAAGACATTAAAACAGATGAACCTTTTGTTTTAGACCTTCTATTGTTTTTTTTTCAGTTACAATAATTGTTGTGGCTTTTATCTGACAATGTAATTAAAAAAATAGCACTTTCAAATCCCATATAATTGGTAATTTGGGTGTTGCAACTCCTTGAGTTGTTAAGAAAAACAAAACAAAACCATTTCATATAATATATAATCACGCACACAGGATTACATACACTGTAAGTCTAATCTTTCAGTATTTGTCTAGTTATTGCAAAACGAGCCATCTTTTAATTAAATAATCAAATGTCCTTATTAGTACAAATATTTTATATTTTTAATGCACTAGATAAAATTAGTAAAAGAAAGGAAGTCTTCTCGCTCTGCAATACCTGCTTGAAAGTTTCAGTGAATTAGAATATTAGTTTTAATATAGAGGGAAAGAAAAAAAATATATTTTGCCTACTTTAAGGACCTGTCCATTCCCATCAGGCATTTCTTAAGGCTAAGTTTGTCATTTGGCTTCAAACAGAAATTGAGTTGCAGTATAAAATAATTTAGTGATTTACATTCGTCTGCATTTTCCACAGTAATCAGTTATGAAGATACTTTTTTTAAAAAAGAATTTGTGTGCTAATTTATGCTTAGTCAAAATTCATTTCATTCTTGCACCTTAGAAACGTGATTTTATTAATTTAGACAAAACACCTCATAAATTCTTATAACTGCTGTTCAGCTTTTCCATGGCAATTGCTCTGTGTTACATTTTTCTAACACAACAAATTAAAACTTTCACAAATTCTTAAATATAGTCTCCCTCCAAAAGGGTGGCTTTATAAATTTAAAGAACACTTTGTTTTAAGAAAGAATTTGTACAACTGTACCAGAATTTCACAGCTACAATATTTATCAACACACTCCCAATGAGGTTTAGAAAAATGTTGGGGACAGCTCAGCCAAAGAAAACTGCCACTTAGTGTTGAGGTTGACAGTCTGTGTTTTCGTAAGAAGTCATATTGAAAAGGTGTCTATAAATAACTATTCAGTCCTTTACAAGCCTGTAGATGTGATGCTGTGCTCCATGTTCGCTGTTTGAAACTTCAAATACACAAGCCATGCAAAGGAGCGTTTCTTGAGTGTCCCTGTTCGTTACAACCTGTTTGGGTTTTTTTACATGAAAAAAGAAAAGAAAGAAAGAAAGATGACATGTTAGAAACCTGTATATTGTCACAGAGACACAAAAGTAAAAGATATAATTTGTTGTGTATCAACAAATACATATTTCTAAAGTCACCCAATCTGTTAAACAAGCAGTTTATAAGTTAGATTTTTTTTTTCAATTCTACCTCTCTGACATAGTTTGCACATGAGAACAAGGCAAAGTGGAATTGGTTCAAAGTCAAATTCTGAAGGAATATTTTTGGAATTTTCTTAAGGAAAATACTAATTGTTAAACCCTGTCCCTTAACTAGTTAAAAAAAAAATCTGAAGCATCCATGAACACAAAGTGGTGGGAACATAACTAGTTCCTTTTCCTTCTGCAACCTTCCTCCAAAATTTGCTCCAGATGTTTTCGGATATCTTTGGGAATAGCATGAGGGCTAATAGCATGGAAGCTTTCATAAAGATTAAAAAAACAGTTCACAGATATTTTCTACTTTTTGAAAAGAGAATAAAGATAAAGGTTTCCCCTTCCAGTTGTGACTGACTCTAGCGGGCAGTACACATCTCCGTTTCTTAGCCAAAAAAAGTCACTGTTGTCCAAGGACACTTCTGTGGTCACATGACCAGTGTGACTATACTCCGAGGCACATGGAACACTGTTACCTTCCCACCAAAATGCTACCTGTTTATCTACTCATTTTTGCATGCTTTTAAACTGCTAGGTTTGTAAGAGCTGCAGCAAATAACGGGAGCTCATCCCATCATGTGGCACTCAGGGCTCAAACCCAGGGTGTCAGCTTTCCAGCTGACAAGCTCAACATCTCTAAGTGCTATGCTATCGCGTCCCTTAGAAAAAGAGAGAATATAATAACGCAATTATAGAACCACCTAACTTTTTAATAACCTGTTTCATCCTAACATTTGGAAATCTGAATTTCCAACCACATTCTGAATGGAAGAAAACCTACTAAAACTTAGGATTTTGGAACTGTTATGGATCAGTTCCATTCTATCTAACTTGCTTTAAAGCCCCAAGAGGATACACACAGCTACTCTGAAACTCTTCTACTGCAGGCTCAGCAGATGGCTTGAGCTATTTGAGCTTCTCTACATTTCTAAAGTGCTCAGAAAGGGGGTAGATTTAGAAGTATTGGAGAAGAGAGGCAAAGCAAAGGTGCAGTAAGTTACATAGACAGATCTGAATTATATCAGATGTCCTGGTATCCAATCTTCCTAAGTTCTCAAGAATTTCAGGAGCTTCTGAAATACAGTCTATTGAAAATAGATAGCTAACACCGAACATTGCTTGAAATGAGTAAACTGCCAAATGCCGTAAGGAAACATTACCTTCCTTGCACTTTGTACTAAAGAGGTGCCAGCTTCTTCCCCAAATCCCACTTCATCACTCAGAATACTATGAGATAAACACATTGGGTACCCAGTCCAAGGAAAACATGTAAACTCCATTGCTAACATAATTAGTAGTCACATTAGATCTGAAAGTGTATAACAGGGTTATGTGAATGTCGGTATCTCATTCCCATTAGCCTTCACAGATGAGGGCTAAGAGAAAGAAGTACAGGTTGCTCCAAGTATAAACACAAGCAAATTTCTACCATAAAGGCACAAATTGGTCTAAATTCACATGTAATATTAAGCTGTAATTTGCTTTTTGTTTCATTTAGTGCATTGTGCAACCATTCAATTGTGCCTTGATTTCATATTTTGAGTAGGCACAATGGCTTGTTCAAAAAACATGTTTAAAAATCCTAGGTTAGTGTTGTATGGAATTCAGTTTTTGCCTCCTACAAATTTTTATTTAAAAAAGTTTCAAATATTGTCCTATTAGGCAAGATTAAAATCAGAACCATCTTTTGAAATGACATACATTTCAACTGAAGGACATGGCATTTCTAACTCATTAAAACAAATCATAGGAAACATCTATCTCCTCCCAACGTACTCCAGAGAACAGTGAGCAAAGGGAAGAAAGTTATTACCAACAAAATTGTAAAGTTTTCCAACACACTGTTCATCATATATTTCTCTGGTAAATGCTTGAGCTTGTGGATGAAGTTGATCATATATTCACACATTGGGGAGCGGTTTATTCTAAACACAAACCGGCCATTCTCGAATCGTGCATATTCAGTCTAAGAAGAATAACAAAAAGAAAGTTGAAAATTGAACTAGGTATTTCAAATAATTATTTAGAAATCATTTGATTTTCCCATTAAATTAAACCAGTGCTTAGATATAATAAATTAAATACTGTAATAGCATGACAAGTCAAGAGTATTTATTTAGACTGCACCCACCCATGGAATTCACTTCCTCTCCCTCTGCAACCCAATACAAACCTTCAACTGTCTAAAATAGATTGGGAAGACCCTCTGAAGAAATCTAGAGGCTAGGGGTGAGTATCAGGAGAAAATATAAGAAATCAGGAGAGCAAGGGAAACTCCACTTGCATAAAATGAAGTTATTCATATATTGTCAACCGTGGCTCTTACTTAATTATATAATTCTACTGAATTAAACATACAATGGAGTTGAAATGTTACATTGTCATAAAAGATACTGTATATTGGAAAATACTGCATTGTTTAACCCATCATCTTAAGCTTGGATAATTGCAGTAAGCTAAAATAAGAATAGCACAACACTCTAATGCCCACTAGATATACTGAGAAGCCAGTCCCAATTTAATTTAATAGTTTTAAGTTTTACAAGCCACAGATGCATTTTTAGCAACAAGCCGCACTGTTATAGCCTGTTTGGTTGCCAAATGAAGCTCCACATACAGTGCAATGGAAAAGTGTATTTAACAGAAGGCCTTTGGTGCAGATACCTATATCATCATTCATATTTTATCAGTTGAGAACATTAAGGAAGATTTTGAAATATTCCCTGTTCAGTATGTGGTGAATCCCCAAATCTATAAAACAGATCGTCCATAGTCCCAGGAATTTAGGTAACAGTTCTTAATTCTTGAGCTAAAAACAAGTATACCAGGAGCCCTGTTGGCACAACAGTTAGAATGTGGTATTGTAAGCAAACTCTGCCCACAGCCCCGGTGTTCAGTCCTGATGGAGCTCAAGGTTGACTCAGCCTTCCATCCTTTCGAAGTCAGTAAAATGAGAACCCAGACTATTGGAGGCAATGTGCTGACATTGTAAACAGCTATGGCAGGGGTCTTCAAACTTGGCCCTTTTATGACTTGTGGACTTCAACTCCCAGAATTCCTCAGCCAGCGTGCCTGGCTGAGGAATTCTAGGAGTTGAAGTCCACAAGTCATAAAAGGGCCAAGTTTGAAGACCCCTGCACTATGGGGCAGTATATAAGTCTAAGTGTCATTGCTAAGCCCTATAACATGATTCAGCAGAGGAAATATGTAGGCTAAAACAGAATTTTAGACTTCTCCAAAAATAGTGAAAAAGGCTGTTACAGGGATGCATGCTTACATGTCCGAGACACAAAGAGATTTCATAATGAGCAAGCTACAGTACAAAATACTACTGGTGCCAAATAGCCAGACTGCTTTAAGCATTTTAAAAGGCACTCATTAAAGAAAATTCTCCTCGCAAATTAGTTCAAGTTGAATAGCAGGGAGCATATTCCACTTCCCTAGTCAGTTTTTTCCCCAAAAGGATACCTAAGAACCTGGAAAAAAATGTACACCACAACAATTTTATATTAACACAACTGTAGATGCATTGGTTCAGATGTACAATTTGAAAAAAGGCTTTTTTTTTTTTTAAAAAAAAGAGAAGTATGAGATGGCAACAATAATCACTACCTCTACTTTTTCCACCACTTGCTTCCCAAATGAGCAGACTTTGGTGGAACAGGTGATTGTCATGTTTTCTGAACTTTCATATTGACTAGTTACACCATAGAATGCTCCTGTATCATCTTGGATGTTGCAATTTAAATCCGCCTGTAAGAAAAACAGCATTTATATAAGAAGCAATTAGCAATTAGCATTCTCCCTTTATGCAGGCTACTCTGGAACCACAAACAGTCCAGCTGTATTCAAAGTAATATATCACCTTGACTCTCACTGCAGGTTTGTTTGTTGCCAAGTGACTTTCCACTGCAATTTTGAAAGGCAGGGTTATTTCATTTAAGGTTTGGATTCAAAATTGCTGGGCCATAAAAGCTTTTGACTATTTTAACTATCCAGTTTCTAATTTAAAGAATTAAGAGGATATAGCTATTCAATGGGAAGAATAGCTCTTTTTTTTCCCCAACTTGAACTGGATACATATAAATAAGCCATCCTTTGAAATGAAAAGAGCTAGAAATATATACAGCTAGCCCCTTATTTTGCTGGGAAATAAGATTTTAAAGAGAACATTCAATAATTCCATATGCCAATAATGAATCATATCATACATTGTATTATAATCCATCACAAATAATGATAACTTCCCAAACTCAGGTGACACAAGTACAGGTTAGATCACTGGGAATCCAATTTCTTATAATTAATTTAATCATAGCAACTTGTAAAAACAGCTCAGAGTGTTTACTGATAAAAATTCACAGGCATTAAAATATAGCTACTGTACATGTCATATGTCATTGAAGAATAAGGAAGATTGCCCGATATTCTTCAACACACCCACTGAAAATTGCAACCACACCCTTTGAAAACTTCTCAGCAGCTCACAGGGAAGAGGACACTGGACAACCTGTTGTAGAGTGTAAATACTTACACAAAACAAGAATAAGGACACACTAGCATATGCTTGGAGAAAGTATGTGAACATTTGCAGGAAAAATCTCCTATTCAAATCCTCCCATCCAACACCACACTTATAAAACACAGCAAAGATAGAATGTTTTTATAATATAATAGAACTATCCAAACTTTTTGCAGACAGCGCTGTTTGGAGAAAGTAACTGAGATTTGATCATAAAATGGAAGATGCTCCGTAGATGATTGGCAGCACTTGTGATAGATGGAGGTAATCCCAGAGAACAGTAAACTTCAGAGGTTAAAAAACAAAGAAACTGACTGCACGGAATTAGAAATTTATCTTGAGTACTTATTATAATTCAGGATTATCCCTCACCTCAATTCTTTTTCACCTCAAATTTCTCAAACAAAAGTGATGTATTCATCCCAGAAACTCATAGTTCTCTTTTAGGCTCAGCACTCAAATATTTTCCTTTCCAATTTTCTCCTGAATTTTGTTAACATGCAAGACTCCCAGTTATATTTTGCAACTCCCCTCTCAGTGACTGATGCTAGGACATTGAACTGATCTTTAAAGTTGTGGCAGTTGCAGCACCCCGGCAGTTACATGATTGTGATTTGGTCACTTGGCAACCAACTTGTAAATATGATGATTGCAGCATCCTCCAGTCACATGATCACCATTTGTGACTTTATCACCAGCTTCCAACAAGCAAAGTCAATGGGGAAGCCAGCAGGAGGTCACAAATGGTGACCACATGATTTCTCATTTAACAACCACAGAGGATTTGCTTAACGATTGCAACCAGACCTGCAGGAACTCTTGTTGTAAGTCACTGTGGTCATGTGACATCACACTTTAAAACTGCATCGCTTAGCAATGGAGTTTCCACTTAGTATTGTTAACTGTGGACTTTTCTTCTCCTCAAATAAGTTATTTCTAATCTCCACCCTCACCCCACTAACTGTCCCATTTCTACTGACTTTTTCTTTTATCTGGCAATTGGTGTATATCAGTGGTGGGATTCAAATATGTGAATAACCGGTTCTCTGTGTGGATGTCGCTTCCGGAAGTCCATTCTGGGCCTGGGCAACAAAAAATTTGCTACCTGTTCTGCCAAAGTGGTGCGAACTGGCTGAATCCCACCACTGGTGTATATCCTCCTTTCATAGGAAAGGAAGCAATAGGAGCACATTAAAATAAAGCACAGCCCTCTGGCCATCTTTTATCTTGACTTCTTAAGAATGTGAGGCCTAGAGGAATTATGAAGAATAAAGACAATGACTGCTTTGTGTTGAACCACTCCCAGTAACACACCTTTACTATAAAATCAGCATGAGTTCAGGAAGAGATATTTGTATTGCAATGATGCCCAAGGTACAGCATTACCCCCTTTTTCCAGTTGTATTAAAAGGCACAAGTGAAGTAAAGGAAAAAGTATAAGATCAGCCTGAACCTATTTGTATGAAATTTGTAGTTATGTTTATAAAAGAAGGGGTCCCTGAGGATTTTACTCCACTAGCCATAGCTGATTTTAAGGGGTGGTGTTCATCTTCATTTCTAGGCCATTGAGCCAGCACTGTCCAAAGACATATCTATGATCATGTGGCCAGCATGACATCATAGAGCGCTGTTACCCTTCCAAAGTAGTACCATTCATCTAATTGCATTTGCATGCTTTCAAACTGCTAGGTTGGCAGCAGTTGGGGTGAGAAATGGGATATCACTCCACCATGTGGTACCCGAGTCTTGAACCTGGGCTGATGACTTCCCAGCCAACAAGCCCAGCATCTCAACCGTTGACCCATCGTGCTGCCTTCATTAATGTTTGTGCTCCCACATTATTTTAATAATCATGAGTACAAGGGCCCATAGATTGGCATTTGAAGATTTGGGGTGGCTTTGCATGTATTCCTGTCACTAGTTAGTTAACTCCAAAGAGAAAGAATTTGCATCTAACTGGAAGAGAAATATCATTACTGAGATTTCCTCAGCAATGCATCTTTTTGCAAATCTTCATGGGACTGGTTATTCAAAGACCAGACACTCAGATCTGAATAACTATTCCTAGTTTAGACTGCAACAACATGTGTCTTGGAAAGCAGATGAAAAAGCTTTACAGATGGACCACATTTTTATTAAGAACTAACCAAAGAGAGAAGCAACCTAGAACTAAGGAGAAACTTCCTGACAGTTAGAACAATTAACCAGTGGAACAACCTGCCTCCAGAAGCGGTGAATGCTCCAACACTGGAAGTTTTTAAGAAGAAACTGGACAGCCATTTGTCCGAAATGGTATAGGGTTTCCTGCCTGAGCAGGGGGTTGGACAAGATGACCTCCAAGGTCCCTTCCAACTTTATCATTACTATTATTATTATTATTATTATTATTATTATTATTATTATTATTATTATTATTATTATTATTATTATTATTATTATTATTATTATTATTATAAAATAAATACAAAAAAGTAATGTAATATAATCTTTGTTTCCTACTGCCACATGACCCCACCATTATTTTTTTTCTAGTTCTACCACTAGTATAATTTTAATATGGTAGAGTCTCAAATAATTTGCTAGGGACTCTTCCTAAGAAATAGTGAAATCAATCTGCTATCAATCTGCTGTCACAGTTGACTAAATGATATATCTGAACATAAGGACAGCTATTTTGTCAGGCAAAGTCATCTTACTAATTTTTTAAAAACATTGTATTAAATGTAATTATTCTGTGGTGTATGAATCATCTTTCTATCTGGAGTAGTCATTTTGGTCACAATGGCAGATCTGCTTTTATTGTCAGAATATTATTGGTCTTAGTCACTGTCTTAAGTAGCAATGCTATTGAAGTAAATTATCATCATGTTTTCATCATTCCAACATGTGTAATTTAGAGCAGGGGTCCCCAACCTCTGGGCTGAGGCCCACTACTGGGCTGTGGTCTATTTGGAATTGGGCCATGTGAGCGGCTGGCCAGAGAGTGCACCCACAGCTTTACTTGCATGAGTGGCGCCAGCCCGCTGCTTGTGCAGGCCAGTTCCCCTCTCCCCCCCAGCTGAGCTGCCAAGATGCAAAGGTTGGGGACCGCTGTCTTAGAGGCCTCATGCTGAGGTAAAGATCATAAAACCAAACCATGTATGGGATTCTAGAAATACTAGCAGGAGGTCCACTCTTCAAGAGGCGTCTCTTGAGTTTAAGTATACTGTATTAGACAACTATTATCCCATATATACTTTCTCTTTGGAAAAAGAAAATGGAAGAAGAGGTGAGGGAAAACAGCTTCAGAGAATGCTGTGGAAAAAAACATTTTCTAGATCGAAGACAGACAGGATTCTGACCTAGGCATAAGACTAAAAATGCAGTGGTCACCCTCAAGGATCATTGGCGGTAAGGTACGGATGATGGGAGATGATTACTCTTGTTTTTCTGGAATACTGTTGGTCACAGTATCCTTTGAAATAGCTAAGAACTGGGGGAGTTGCAGGCATCATTTTAAGGTTCCAGTTAATTGTTCTGAGGGGAGAGTTGGGGTTAGGCTTTTCATTATTAGGATTAGGTTTAGGGAGTTTTCGGTGACATTGCTGCAACATGGGTGCTGGGGAATGAAGCTCGGTTCCCCAAGCCCGATTTCTATCAGCTGGGGAGTCCAATAGAACCGAAAGTCGCCCCGTAGAGGCTACTGGTCAAAGGGTGAAACTTCGCAGATCATGGGCCAGCGATAGCTGACCTGCTTGATCCACAGCAGCCCTTGGGAACGGCGGGAAGAAAGGCTGACCGCACCCATGCGGTCAGACAGAAGCAGCTGATCCTGGTGAGACTACTTTCCTTATCTCTCTACAAGTGAAAATACCAGTTCTGGGGAAAAGCATTCAAAAGCAAGAAATCCCCAAGCTCCGGGGAGGGGGGGGGTTCTTTACCCCTCCCTCCTGAACTATAAGTGGCAGTTTAAGCTTTGGGAAAATTAAAACTGACTTATAACAATACTGTGAAGATAGTTAGGTACAGGCATAAAAGAAGGATAATTTGGGAAACTTTTGGATTTATAAATCTTTTTTTTTAATTCCTTGTTTGGAAACCATCGGATTTTAACTGTTTAACTTTTTTAAAGTATGTTGGGAATGGACATCTAATGACATTATTAAGATTAGGTTTCAGTTAGGGCAAAGTGCAATGCTCCATATGTCTCCTGGGCAGTCTCACTGTTACCCTGTAATACAACTGCTGTGGG